AGTAGTACAGATACTGCCGATGAAGTTGTAAACTCCTGTAGTCCACCTAGGAAACGCTCTAAAAAAAGACACCTGAGTGCAGAAATGAAAGAGGTCATTTTGAATATATATAAGATCGAGCGCGAGGAGAACGAGGCACCCACCATCAAAGAAATTGTTGTGAAGGTTTCTCACAAAGTTGGGGTGTGTCGCGCATCAGTGTTTAATGTGTTAAGACAATACAAAAAAAAACACACCTTTTCTGAGCCAATGACCAGTAAACATCGCAAAAGTATTGTTAAATCATTGGATGAAGCTGATAAGCATGCGATTAGGAGGAAAATGCATGAATTCTTCTTTAGGAATGAAATACCTACTATAGATAAAGTACTGCAGGAGGTAAATGGAGATACAACGTTGCCAAATTTCAAACGATCAACATTCCATGCGTTACTGAAGCATTTAAATTTCAAATGGAAAAAACAGGGTTGTAATAGTTTACTACTGGATAGAGAAGAAATTGTGCTATGGAGGAGGGATTATTTAACAAAAATTGGGAAATATAGAAATCAAAACAGGAAGATTTATTACCTTGATGAAACGTGGGTAAACGCAGGACGCACTACAAGTAAAGTATGGGTTGATGATTCTGTAACTTCATCCAGGAGCGCCTTTCTAGATGGTCTGTCCACCGGATTAAAAAATCCAGCAGGTAAATACGAGTAATAGACAACAACGGATGTTTTTCAAACCTTGGGAACAAGGTTCTAAACATTAATTCCAGGGGGCAGATAAAACATATTACAAGTAACAAAACTTTTATAACTTTCGATAAAATGCGTGGATGTTTTATTGTCATTTTCATTTGTTAGAACTTTTTTAAGCCATGTTTTTATGTATTTTCGATATTTCAATAATTTTTTAATATAATCTTAAAATATGTCGAATATTATAAACTTAAAAAAAGTTACTAAGTTTTATATTGTGTACCGTTCCTAATATTTCTAATCATTTTAATTCATACTTTAAGCTTTATAAAGTTATAATTTGTTAATATTAATATTTGCGCGTATTTCAGGTTCCTGATCATTCATTTTTTAAAGGTTTATAACTTTAAATTAAATTGTGAAGCGCTGAGTAATCATACGACGTTCAATATTCTTTCTTTCAATATGACTAAATAATCCCAATTATAGCAATTTGATACTCATGTCTCAATGTTTTTTCGCTGAATGTGATGAAAACATTTGAAAAAGGTTCGCTTATTGAAATAAATCTACACCAGTTAGTACTTCGATTTCCAGGTAAAGGGAAAAGGCTCATTATCTGCCATATTGGCAGTGAGGATGGATTTGTTGTTGACGGTCTGTGGTGCTTTGAGTCTAAGAAAACTGGAGATTACCACGAGGAAATGAATGGCGAATCGTTTGAACAGTGGTTTTCAAAAATTTTACCGAACTTAGAGGAAAACGCAGTAATTGTGTTGGATAATGCGCCTTATCATTCTCGAAGAATGGAGAAGGTCCCAACAACGGCTTCAAGGAAAGTTGAGGTTCAAAATTGGCTCCGCTCGAAAAACATCAACTTTGAAGAAGCAATGCTGAAAGTACAATTATTAAGAATTGTCAAGGATCACAAGGCGGAATATCAAAAATACGCCATTGACGAAATGGCAGCAAGTCAAAATAAAACTGGGCTCCGTTTACCTCCATACCATTGCGAGGTCAATCCCATTGAGCTCATATGGGCAGAGGTTAAAAATTATATAGCTAAGCACAATTCAACTTTTAAATTTTGTGACCTCAAAGGACTTTTCAAAGAAGCACTAGAATTAATAACAGCGCAAAAATGGGAAAACTGTATTAAGCACGTGAAAGACAAAGTTGAAAAGAGAATGTGGGAACTGGACAATATTTTAGAGGAACAAGTCGAGCCATTCATTATTGACGTTGGTGCTTCAGGCAGTTGCGATGATGAAAGCTCATCAAGCTCATCTTTCCAATAAAAGATGTCGTTCATCAAATTCGGTAAGTTATAAGTAATTATAAAGCTACTGTATTTTTTAATTAATTATTGACATTTTTGAACCCATTTTGGCAAAACCTATTCAAGAATCTACTTTCTGACAATGTTCAACCATACACATTTTTTTACGTTTTGAACGTTTTAATTTGGTTACATATTTACCTAGAAATCAAAAAATATACTAATCAATATTCTAAAAGCAATTTTAAGAGATATACGATTATTTTTAATTTAGGCTAATTTAAACGCCATTTTGAGATTATATTCGACTGTATTTCACAAAACATCAGGCGGCATCCGAAGCTGGAAATCGAAGCGAAAATTTTGAAACCCTTATGTATATTTACATCATTATATATTTCTTACCCCACCCCCACATGATCCTATATCCATCACCAATCGTATACACATCGAATTGTGCTAATTTACTAGAAAGTTACGCAAAGCAGCATCTACTATCTAAAATATGTACTGTGTGACTCTTAATACGTCCCTGCCGAATGTTACAGCGTTCGATGATCACGTGGTCTTGTTTATGTCCGGTCTATCTCTTATCTGAATATACCATGGGCTCCTCATTTGGTGGTGTTTCAGTTGCCTCATAGCGAGTGCCGGGAATGGTCGTGTTTTTCCCACTTCTTTTCAATTGCTCTAGTTTTACTTATATATGCGTAATTATAAATTGTCAAAGCGTAAAGTAGCCCTGCAGCAGCAGTAGTAATTTCACCATCCATATTCGTCAAGAGCGCGAACTATACTGTGAAGCAGGCGCGAACATCTGCGAGTGTGGAAGTGTAGCAACAAATTTCGGGATTCGCACCGCAATCCGCGCCGCGATTTCACGCCGTGATCCGCGCGTGAGTCTGGAGAGGGTATTAGAGAAGAGTCATCCATCAGTCGGACAGCCCTCCTCTGGCCAGCATCGAGAATAAAAGATGTAGTCGGAGCGGCAGCACCTCAAATGAGTGAGCAATACTCGAGGCTAGGTCTTATCTGGTCCTCGTATAGAGTGAATGGGTCATGCGGACATAAGTACTTCTTAGCACTAAACAAACAGCCTGGCTTTTTCCCAGGAGCTGCCGCTATTGACGAGATGTGTTCGTGCCAGATCCAGTTCTCGGTGATCTGAACTCCGACCAGCCGAAATGAATGGCTCTTTGGCAGAGCTCGGCCATCCAGCCAAACCGGATGAGTACTAGGACGCATTTCATTCGTCAAGGTGCATGTGTTTTGGAAGCATTAAACTGTAGAAGAATGTTGCATTCCCAAGCAGTGATAACCCCCATGTCTCTCGTCAGAGAGGAAGTCTCTGCTAGTATCCTTTTTCCTAGCTCACCGGCAGAGATCGGCTTATCGCTCTGAATTCCTGTATGTAGCGTGCCGTCATCAGCAAAGCTGTGGGTTAGGTTGATCGTACATGAAAGGATGTCGTTGAAATGTAAGAGGAACAGAGTCGGAGCCGATATCGATTTCTGAGGAACACCCGCGTTGACGTTGTGGGATGAAAAAGAGAACCCCTCAGTTACGACTAATTCTTGCGGCCAGAGAGAAAGTCAGTCACCCATCTGCAAATCTTCTCTGGGAAGCCATATGATGGAAGTTTGCATTAGAGGGCAGCATGCCACAGCTGATCTCGAACTCTTTGGTGATATTAAGAACAACGGCACGAGCCTCATCATAAGACTAGATGAGTTTACTTGCATGACGTAAGCTAGGAGATCCCCTGTGGATCGCTGGTGCCTGAAACCATACTGGCTGTTGCTAATCAAGCCGTGGCGTTCGATCTAATCTCTATCGCCTTAAGTATAACAGAAAGCAGAGCTATAAGCCTGTTCTTGTGAGAGTTTGTCTTAGATCTCTTTTTTGGGATGGGGCGGACAGAAGAAAACCTCCAGTTTTCTGGGGAGGTGCCGGATTTCTAAGATATCTGGTGGAGACGCAAGAACTGGAGTAAGCCTCGATGCACACCTCTTCAGTAAAACTGCAGGAGTCAACTCTGGAACAGAAGCTTTGTTGATTTTATGCATGAATGTTACTTTCCGCATAGTATAGGAACCCTTTGAATTGGCGGCACTCGCGTTCATGGTGGAGTTGGCAGCCAAGATCATGGCAAGCACTTCCGCCTTAGCCTTTGAGTCGGTTACAATTCTTCCATTTTGACAAGTAAGTGTGTAGAAGAGTACAGAAGTTCCTTTCAGTCCGCTAGGCCAGCTCAATTTCAAATTTTGCGGCCTGGGCGAGTTGCTGCTGTCACAGCGAGTTCTGACCGAAACGTAATCTCTACAATACCATGGTCTGAGTTACCCAGGAGAGACAAGACAGCAGTGCTGTAAGAGACAGCATGCGTGGTCAAAAAGAGATCCAGCAGGCTATCTGGCATGTGACGAAAATTATGATCTATATGGTTCCTATGAAAATAATTCCCAAGATTTGTGCCAGGACTATTCTTATGATCAACCTCATTATCATCCAAATGATGATTATACCGAGAATGCTTCCTATCCTAATACTCAAAATCGAGATTTTCAAAATGACCCATTAGAAGTTACCTCTCAGAGATTGAGACCCGTTTCCAGAACCTGAATCTAGACGAATTGTAAGACCCAAACCTCAACTTCTCATAACAAATGACTCAATAAATGCTTTTTATGCGGGAACAACGAACCTGTTATCTGAAAGACTCAAAGGAGAACGATGATTGTATTTAGATAGTGGCTCTCCACTTTACAAATCATTATCGTAATCGCTTCAGAGAATTTGTTTTATTTTCAAGGTATTACTACTGAAGGTCATGCAAACATAGTCGTGCCTAACAGAGTTTTATAAACTCGTTATGTTCCAAGCTTCCCAAAATCCCAAAAGATGCAAAAATGTCAGAAAAAAGGATATTTAGCATCGTAGTACCGCTCGAAAAACTCATTTTCAATGGATTCTTACCCTGCTCCGACTTTACAAAACTATTTTAGACCGATGAATTTCCAAAATAATAATTTATCTCAAACCACAAGTACTTCACATTTGGGCAACAACCACGACCAATGCATCTCTTCCAAATCAGCTCTAATCAGCATCAAAACCAAAATCGCCCTTCTGTGATTAGGCAGCCTAAAGATGACAATCCTGAAAATTATTGTCGATGTGATTCCTATGAAGACAATTCCCAAGATTTCAGTCATTACTATTCTTATGACTAAGCACCTTATCATCCACAAGAGAATTGAATATCAAAATCCTTCATATCCTAATTGTAAAATCAGGATTTTCAAAATGACCCATTACCTACACACATGATAAATGCTTAAACTTACTATGCTGGAACAACGAACCTGTATTATCTGAAGGACTCAACAGGAAAACAATGCTTGTAGGTAGTGGTTCTCCACGTTACAAATTATTATCATAATCGCTTCAGAGAAATTTTTTATTTGCAAGGTATTACTACTGAAAATCGTGCAGTCGTAGACGTGCCTAACAGAGTTTTACATACGCTTTATGGTTCGAGCTTTCCAAAATCCAAAAAATGCAAAACCTGATATTTAGCATGGCATTCACGCTCGAAAAACTCATTTCCAAGGGCACCTTACCCTGCTCCGAATCTACAAAACTACTTTAGACCGATGATTCTCCAAAATACTAATATATCTCAAGCTCCAAGTACTTCACATTTGGGCAACAACCACGGCCAACGAATTTCCGACGTACAGTCAGACCCAATTCAAACTTCGCTTCGCAAAAAGCTCATTTTTGTAATACGCTTGAAGATCACAATCGATCGATATAATAATAATAATAATAATCGTCTTTATTGACCAAAACATGGTGCATTACATGGGGCGAGATTTAGCACCTGCTATTCCACCATCTAACCCCGAATATGAATCCTATGCAGATTTCAGCCCGCACTATTCAAATGACTAACCAACTTATCGTTCCACAAGATGATTATATCGGGAATCCTTCGTATCCGAATATTCAAAATCAGGATTTTCAAAGTGACCCATTACAAGAGAAACCTCTCAGAGTTCGACACCCGTTTCCAGAACCTGAACCTAAACGGTTCGTACGATCCAAACCTCAACTTCCCAGAGCAAATGACACAATAAGTACGTATTATGCAGGAACAACGAACCTGTATTATCTAAAAGTCTCAACAGGAAAACAATGCTTGTAGATAGTGGTCCTGCACTTTACAAGCCATTATCGTAATCGCTTCAGATAGGTTTTGTTATTTGCAAGATGTTTCTACTGAAAATCATGCAGTCATAGACGTGCCTAACAAAGCTTTAGGAACTCGTTTTCCAAAATAGTAATTTATCTCAAACCACAAGTACTTCACATTTGGGCAACAACCACGGCCAACGCCTTCCTTCCAAAATATATAAAAATAAATAAATTTGGTTTCCTCACGCAACTCCATGCCAAATACAAATTTACTACGTACAATCAGATGCAAATTTTGCTACGCTTAGAACTCATTTTTGTGATATGCACGATGACAATCCTGAAAATATTGATCGATATAATTCCTATGAAGATAACACCCAAGATTTCAGCCAAGACTAACTATTCTTATAACCAAGCATCTGGTCCGATCCGTTTGTATAAATTTGGTGACGAAGAGGAATTGGCCAGAAATCCACAAATGAAGATGCTTATCAACCCAGCTCAAAGTTTATTAGAAAACTCACCACCAACCACAGAACCTCAGTTATCAAAATTGCGTCATTTTCAAGAGGCTGCACATGTTTGTAATGTCATAAGAAAAGAAGGTAGATGCGAAAACAGTAAAATTGGTATCATCTCTTAGAAACACAGGGCAGTACTAATTTCTGATAATGTAGGAAGGGTACGTCTCCGTAACGCAATAGTCAAAAATGACGAGCATGGTGAGTTTTTGCCAACAGTCTCGAGTTGAGATCCTCACGATCAAACTGTCTTCAAAATTTTAATTTTGATATTTTCGATCTCCAAGATCGAGTATCAATAATTTAATATAATTCACAAAGATCAAGAATTAATTACAAAAATTATATTCAGACTTTTATATATCTTTTATCTAGAAGTATAAGCTCAGATTCGGAAGTGCAATTAAATGATGATAGACCTATACTTACAAAATCTTATAGGTATCCGTAATGTTTTAAATAAGAGTAGGTACCATATGTTGCAGAATGATTAGAACAAATGATAATTCAACCCTATATCAGCGCATTTAGATCTCCTTGTTGGGTATTACCGAAGAAGCTTCATGCCCCAGGAAAACAAAAATGGCGAATGGTCATTGATTACCCAAATCTCAATAAGGTTACAATTGACGAAAATATTTTCTTATTTCTTTGATCACTTAGGCAAATGTTCCAACACGCTCAATTTGTCATTTTTTGGCAATATCTTTTACATCTGATAACGGAACTTTCAAGAATGCTTGAAAAATGCTCCTTCCATATTTCAACATGTTATGGACCATATTCTTGTTGGAATTTAAAATGAAGGCTGTCTAGTTCATATGAATGACAATATTGTATTTTCCCCACCAGTACACGAACTCATTTCTGGATTTAGAGAAATTTTTAAAAGACAGGATATTAAATTTCAAAATTCATCCCGATAAACGTGAATTTTCAAGAAGTAGATTATTTAAGTCGTGCCATTACCCTCGAAGTTGTCAAAATAAACCTAGATAATGTTGAATGTAAATTTCCAGTTCCAACAAAACAAAAGGAATTCAAATCATGTTTAGAACTTGTTGGTATTTACATTAGATTCATTGCTCATTTTGCAGACGTGACTTTGAACTTCTTAAGAAAGACTGTTATCGTTGCTACAGACAGCACTTATTATATTGGTGCTATACTATCTCGAAACCCTCTGTAGCGCACAAGATCTTTCTAGAAGGTTCACAAGTCTGGTTAATATCACTCAACATGACCGCCCTTAAGCCTGATTATGTTATACACTCCATCACTCCTCTGGACATTTATTCCCGGGGTAAGCTTTCAGTGGTGTCATGTACACGCAAACGGGTTTAACGGTCGGTTTTAAGATCAAGTAGTGCGCGTTGCGAACCTAATTATAGTGTTACCGTGCTATTGAAGTTTTGGTTACCTGAAAGGTGAGCAATCACTGACTATATCCTCTATTCTGCCATGCTACATGGATCTCTGATCATAATACTTTTATATTTATTATAATACTATTAATCGCTGACGGCCTCAGTAATTACTGATAAGCTTAGGGTTAATAAATGGCTCATAAGATGTGACGTCTCCAGCCTCTGGGGGTTGTTATCGGACCCGGGTTGCTGGGTTCAAGGGGTTATTTTCTTTGATGCTCGGTTTCTTCTATCAGCACAAATGTCGGAGCGTTTCGGATGTTGGCCGACGTGACATCCAGGTCTGTCTGGCCGCTTAGCCTCCCCTCCCCTCTTGGCAATCGCTGGAGTCTGAAAGTATCTCATGGCAGGATGCGTATAGGGATTGTTACTGCGAAGTTGTCACATTGCCCGGTTATCTTTGAATCAGAGGTAACATCGGAGCATTTGGATATCAACATAGGCAGCTGGCTGCTCAAGTCCTATGTTGAACACTTAGACTGATGTGTGCTTAAATGCTTAGAGAATGGTTGTCTGCTCTAACAGGCCGGCGTGCCCTAGAGGAGGTGTGTGCTCCAAAAACAAAAATGTAGATCCTTTATCACGAATTCGATTCGATACGCCTATGGAGACTAATAATGAAGTACGTGACTTTAAAGCTTTAGCCACATCAGCAATAGCTGATTCCAACGGCAGCAAAATCTCCATACCGAATTCGACAGATTTGTTGATCTCTACAAAACCATGTCTCCTATTGATTATTTTAAAATGCTATATTTACAGAATACATTTTTGAGATGAGTCTAGAATTCAAGGCAAATCACATCAACGTCGCTAATAGTCGTTCTCTAAAAAGGAAGGATATGTTTCATCATTCCTCTACCTGCAGATCCAGATGTGTAACATAACTCGCTTCTATTTATAACTCCAAATATGTTATAGACCCATTAAACACCATTTTTGTAGAAAATAATTTAGGTCTTTCAATTTTGGAAATCCTATCTTCTATTTACTCTAAGGCGAATAATAAATTAGTAATTTGTCAGAATGCTTCCAAAGTTCCCGATTCTGAAAAAACTCCTTTTATTTTAGAGCAATGCAAAAGACATATTCATAGAGGTATTAACGAAACTATTGACCTGAATTGACAAAAGATGTTGAAAAAGTTATTAAAGATTGCGAAACTTGTACGTGTCTGCTCAAATTGAGTTACAATGACCTTGTGGCTTTTGCTCTGAAGGCGATAGTTTGCAAGATATATCACAAAAAGGGGGAAAATAATCGTGATTTTTTTAAATTCACTTTCCGCCCCTCACCACTCCCACTGCCGCGTTGGAAGTCATTCTCGACATACCACTATCAGACATATTTATTCAGGGTAATGCTCTTTCCGTGGCTCACCGACTAACTCAAGGCCGTGTAAAAGACTATCAAAAATTGTACACGGAATTGAAGGCAAATCGTACATTGGTAATGCCCACGGACACAAATTTCTCAGTGTACCATTTCAATAAAAACTATCAAACAATAGTACCAAAAATGAAATCGTGGGAGAAAGGTCCCCCATAACTTGCACAGTGCTGTAAACACACGGCTTGAAGACTGAAGAAGATGGAGGTGAAGCTGGGATTTATGGGGCAAGGCCAAAAACTGAGGCCTCTGCAAGTCTCGGTAATATCGCAACAATATTTCAGGCTGAAGTAACGACCATAAAAGTCTGCGCAAAAGAGCTAATAAGGAATGAGACTGCAAACCAGTCGATCGCGATCTGCAGGTGCCAGACAGACAAAACGGCATTAGGTTCATCGCATAATCTAAACTAGTATGGGATTGCCTTTAAGCTCTCAAAAAAATTGGAAACCGAAACAAGGTAATATTGCTCTCGGTACCTGCACATGAAGGGCACAAAGCCACAATTGCCTTATAGGTCAAGAGATTTTCTGTGGCGTGACAAGAGCACATACTGAGAAATTGGACCAAGAGTTAAAGTCCCTACAATGGTGGATCAGCCAATAAGGGCAAAGGCAAG